TTTTTATCTTCAGAACAAACTGCCAGTTAGAACACGAAAAATAAACTCTGTAGATCTTTTTAAAAAGACTTCTGTACGACATCGAGTCACTGAAAAACACTTACTTGCCCTCGGATACTGATGTTTTCTAGAACCCACCTATGTAGGATTACATTACAAACTCAGTAATATATCAGAATAAGGGTACTAATAATTTCTTGAAATGTCTGACTAAACACAATAGTATATTTGAATCACTCGTCTTTTCACATCAGAAAAATGGGCTATGTAAATGACAAACATTGTATATCGACAAATGGTACGGAACAGTACAATCACTAAATTGTGTCGTAGATGGAATATCAATATCAAAATTGAGAGTGAGGTACAGCGTAATTATCTATCCTCAAACGCCAAACCAGAACAAATAAGTGAATAATGGAACATGAGTTATTTTTGTTCAGCACTAGTATGGTACATGCTATTCCACTACAGGGTTTCTTACTACTCTCTAAGTAGCAAAAATATGAACAAACATCAACTTTATTCTAGTCAGATATTTTCACTGATCATGACCCTTATCCACCAACTGCTAACACCAGGCACCGCACTGTCAACAGCTAGAGCCACAAATATGGAAATGTTGACATCAAAAATGGAACGTTAGAACGACCGAATAAGACCAACATTTTAGCTACTTTACATCATGATAAAAAAATATGATACATCATATTGGGTACATTAGTACATTTCTGACTAGCTGCTCTACTTCTGCAGCTTTTCATGACATAAACTGATACGTTACAAATGAAAAGAATTCAAACCACTACTGATCTTATTACTCAGCCATGTTTGTACCCCAGCATCCAACAACTACGAAATTTCGGCGGCCTACAAGCTGGTTAGTTTTCTTGTCTGTCCTTGTCCCCTAGGTTTTGTTGACGTCTAAGAAGCTACCAAGTATCTAAATATATTCAGCAGTACGCAATTTAAACCTTATTATTGTCACGACCTCTGCGTTGTTGTAGCCATAAGAAATATGGAAAGACAAAGACTCTTTGTAAAGTGAAAGATAAAACAAGCTACAAGTGAAACATCTATACTCGAAAATACAACCAACAGAAGTAGGATACTGAAATCGCTGGTTCTTGTTTGATTATCTCATAGTTCAGTTGACTGTCGAAATGTAGGTGGAGAAAAAATAGCCTGCGTCAGAATGAGTTAACAGTAAACATACAAATCACTCCTGTCATTCGTACCTAAACTTTGATGTAATATTTAAATTGTTATGGAAAATCAATGTTTTTCTTAAGTAACTATAATTTTTCTTTCACGCCTGACAAAAGTAGTATATCGCACGGTTTTATGTTCATTTTAGTCTCAACAAATGGTTATGAATGCGATATACCATGTTCTTTGAGTCCAAATGTTGAGCATCAGCTTGAACCAACCCTGATTTTACGCTAGACAACGTTTGATGTGAAAATTGGAAGGAGAGCTGTACAAATTAAAATATGGTACATCTTTTTACTTGGAACTCGAGACAAATTAGACTGTATTCAGGAGAAGTCAAATGATTCAGAAGGAACTGCCAAAGTTGTTCTGTCAAATCCAAAGAAGTCAACAAGGAAGTCATTACATATTCCTATGGATGAAACGGCACAAGTTTGCGGAGTCAAACAAAAGGTTAACCCAAAGTTCTCAAGGAGTGAACAGACTTATATTTCTTTCTTATTGCTGATTCCGCGATGTGTCCAGCTATCGGGATGAAACTACTCTAAGATTGAGAAATAGTATTGTCGCACTCGTAAATAAAAAGGATTATGAAGCTGAAGCGTCAAACGACATCAATTTCTCTGTTTTCATGATATTAAAAGGAATGGAGTGGATTACAAATGAATCTAACTCTGTCCCTTGTATTAATTACCGGATTTATTTCTCTCGCGTGGACATGTTGATGGTAACCTGCTGACCGCTAGTGACAGTTGGAGATTACAAGTATGGCGTGTTGCTCATATGCACATAGGTTGCCTAGATCACTCCACAGTACTCTATGGGACTGATTATTAGGGAGGAAATCGATGAACATGAGTGGTTGACAGGTCGAATACCCACATGATTATTACACAGTCATACTAAAAGCTGCGCACATTTTTCGTGCCTTAAGGTAACCCTCGTTCTATTGATAGAAGAAACCAAACAAGTAATGAATATGTCTTTATTTCGATCTTCGCGCAGTCACAGTGGAGCGTGGTATTATTTGTTCAGACAAACAAAGCCTCTCAACGTTCAATATAAGATAATAGGAAATATAACGCCTATGCAAAATAAGGAAGTGAATGAATACTTGACCTGTACTGTTTTGGCATATGCTTGGTTGTTTGAGGTCAGCTCTTAACCAACCAACTTATGCTGTTACACATTCCCTCTATGTCGTCTGCTCGCAACTTCAAGCAGGTTAATAAACATTTTAAACGTTTAACTATTCTTCGTATTATCACTTAGTTATCTTTCTGACAATCACGTTTCTCAGACTATAATTTGTGTGAGTAGTTACTGTAGTGGCCGGCTCTATGTCGAGCCCACGTACATTATTCTAATTTTTGGACAGACCAATTTATTTATTCTTCCCGAGTCACTTTTGACCTTGTTAACTATTCCCCTCTATTCGATTTGGCTATAAATATTGGGTACCGCTTGATTAAAGTGGGTTGGCTCACTTGCTTTCTCCACTGTGTGTCATTTAGTTTCTCTTCTATTTATTCTCCTCTTTCTCTTTGCTCTGTCCCTCTGTCTGGTCTGATCAGCGACTGTGTGAAATATACGCATTCAAACTTCATCGTCGAATTTCGTTATTCATCTATGCAACTTAAGTCGATAATTATATAAGAGGATTGACGATAGGTATAAGTCAATAATCACTATCGAAATCGCGTTAGATATCGAGTCACTAAAATATAAAGTAACATACATCACTATTGACTAATGAAACGCGAATATAATGATAACTATCAAAAGCCATTTATACCTTGATGTACGTAAAGGTAAGATTTTATTATTGGACACTATAAAGCACCCATCTTACCATTTTCAGATGATTGGAAAGGTTATTTCGGTACTACTTTGTATGGTGCCCGATTTGGCTCTTCGTTTAGGACTCCACGGCAGATGAAAAGCGCTGTTTCATAGGGTTTATCCGTAGAACTCAAGTATCGTTATTCCCAATGTGCTAAAAGGCACTTATCGTATTTTCTTTAGACCACATCCCTTGCTAAGTCCCCTTTATTCGAGAGACAGCCTTACTGGATACTTCTTTCAGAATTAAACCTAAAAGTATACCTTATACTGAAGAAATCCAGAAAAGTTTGCTGGATGAAACGTTGGAATCATTTAAATTTCACTCACTGAGATTATTTCAAATACAATTCTCACATATAGTGATATATTTTGAAACGGTTTTAACGGATTTCACGATGGATCATACTGCATTTGGTTCTCTTCTTCCTCACGGATTATCATCTAGTTTTTTCAGTCTTTAAAGGAGGAAGTATCGCACAAAGGTAGAACAAGAAGGGGCATGCACAAAAACACTTTCTAGCACTTTCTTTGTAAATGTCTGTAAACTATAAAATTTACTCATACAGAAGATAGTGTGCGAGAATTAAATCTTCCCCGTTTAATATTTTGTTGATTTGACTTCTACTCGGACGAGCTGATGAACCATGAATACAAATCTTTAATTATGTTTAATACACCCAGGCTAACCCCGTAGGTCCGACGACGGTAATAGAAGGCCAAATGCGAATTAAGTTTGATTGGCTCGTTTCATGTAATAGTTTACTTAGACATCGGGATGAGATGTAAGTTGATCAAAGCGAAGCGGGGGCAGGTGAACGTGTCCAATCCCTCTCACAAGTCGTTGCAATTGTGACTATGAATTGAACTAGACTATATATATTGCGATAAAGAGGCAGGAAAATAAACCAATAATGATAAATAAAATAATGAGTGACAAGCCTAAACACTAGTACATACTAGCGGTATAAGCGCCGAAACTCAAGGACATAAATATAACACATGTATGTTCACTGAAAGCCACAACATTCCATGAAACTGATGGTTATTAGCTGGGATGACTGAGACACTGCCTGAACAAAAGTGACAAGTCAATGCGGTGTTCACTTAATCCCCTCCATTCTGTGTTATGGTATATCCGATCCGCTTATTCGCTCCGCTCATTAAACGTAGTGGTTAGAAAAAGTATCTCATCCATGCAAGCTGTTGAGATTGTAGTTAGTAGCTCGGGGTGATTTGGATTGAAATGTGAGAGTCATGAAGTGAAAATGCCTAGACCTTTTCTCCTGTTACACTGTAAGACGCGAGGTGAATCTGCACTGGAATTACGTACCTTTAGTGGTGATATGAGTGTTAAAAAATCCTGCATTTTCACCGTGGAGCCCACGGCGAGAAGTTTTAAAAAGCATGAGCGCATAAACTCATGGTGGGATTCCGTCTTTCGGATTGAGTGGTCACTGGCTAGCACGCTCTACACGAACAAGTGATGTTCATTCCATCAGTGAAAAAGTTTAGGGAGAAGGCGAATCTCCAGTGTAAAACGTTTATGGACAGGTGGAAACATGCTGTTCTAGTTTTTGATATGGGATGTTATGATAATCAGAAGTATTCGAAATAACGTATTTACTAAGAATCTCTAAATATGGTGAGATTTAAGGCAGGTAAAACTAGATGATTACAAATGGATATGTTATACTTGGAATTCGTAATCAGCTTGCAGTCAATCGCATAGTAATCATTACCACAAATACTTTGGATAAACTGAAACTGAAACGGATTAACACAGGTCAACCAGTTTACTATTCTTATTTCTGAAAACTGATTGTAGCAGCCAAATGAATAAACTCACTGCGTCAGATGTTACTGAGATAATGAAACTACTTTTACTAGCTCGATTTTAAGTAGTGAGCTGGGAGAAATCAATCAGGTAACATCGCCTCATAAACAAAGCATTGGAAACATCGGGGGCGGTCAAGTTAATTTTGCGACGTGACCTTTGGTTTAGTATGATTTTAGCTTTTCTTCGTTCACAGTTGGATGTCCCATTGTATTGCTTATGGCTCATTGCTGTGGCTTTTCTATGTGATTTGAACACCGTCTGTGGTGCTAACTTAGATGATGATTTTGCAGAGTTTGAGGATCCTGATGATTGTAAGTGCTCGATGACTAGCAAACCAGTTCAATGACGATTGTTATTGAACTGGTTTGCAAGTAGTCTATGATAATTCGTTTTGTGACTGGGATTTTGGCTGCCGTTTATTTTTAGTCCGTTGTCAATTCTTGACCATACAGATGACAAAAGTATTTTGTTACATGAAAAATGTTTGACGGTCATATTGCCATTAAAGTCAAAATTAATCGACTTCGATCATACATACCTGCCTTCAATTTTCTTATTTTAAACCACTGGAATGATGTAAGACGGCGACGCTTTAACAAATCACCGAGTTTTATGGTAGCTAACGTTCATTGTTATACCTTGTACAATATGGAAATTTCTACATCCACTTAATATCCACCAGTTCTTTGTTATGCCAAACGTTTTGTATGTCTTTGTGGGATGACTCCTCTCACACATTTTCGGACAAAATGCAGATACTCCAGTTTTAATCTAAAGAGATAATTTATAAGTAAACTTTACTGGCAACTGCCTGAGTAATGATTATATATTAACTGGATTATACAACCCATCACATTCCTCAAAATAACAGTTCCAAAAGTTTTATTTGTTGCAGGCAAGTAAAAAGCTCTGGTTTTTTGTAGGGAACTGACTCAAGAGGATCCCCACCAACTTAACGGACTCCACACATTGAAATCCCTTCATTCAACACTATCTTATTAGCCATGTTTTCAAGCTGTTAGTGATGAGTCACAAGCACTAGACAGTAAATCGAAATTGCAAGAAAAATGTTGGCTTTAATTGTTAAAGTATTTTGTTTATTGTTTTAGAATACCTCTGCTAGCCTACTTGTCATGATGCCAAAGGAATGATAACCTAAACGTGGCATCCATCTACAAATTTATTGGTAGTTACACTGCGCCATGTTCGTCGGTTTTGATTACCTGATTTGGGTTTGAGTAATTATCATAATTAGTGTTTAGACATGACTCAGTAGACCGGGTGCATCGGAAACTTTTAGAGAGCTGTTTCATCCGGATCTGAAGTGTTCATTCCAGTTTTTCTTGAAGATATCTATGTTTAATCTGACGAGAAAAGATCCCCGATTAATTAAAAATAATGAAGTAGGGCTGTGAAATTGATAAAGGGTGTTGTACTCGAACTATTTCATGATTAAGTTGGTTGTACTCATTCATAAGATAAATTTATTTGACTTTACCTAGGTTAGTGTAAATTATTTTCGTAGCTTGTATTATTGTATAGTTACCTTAAATAGTACAGACAAGCAAATATTATATAAACTAAACAATTCTCAAGTTTGTAGTACAAGAAATGGATTTCGATTTAGTGGTTACTGCGTCACCTAATTATTAATAATGGCTCAACTTGTCTCTACGTAAATCTTCGTTGTTTTTGTACCGGGAAATTGAGGGTTTATGAACATTATCACTGGACTTCATAAACTACAAACGAAAAAGATGGAACTACTCAACTGGATTGATAGCGTACATTGGTTTTCTAAGATTCATGCAAAATAATGAGGTTATTGTCATTATTTTCTATTAATGTCCTAATTTCCTGAACATTGTAGCTTTTACTGCTGATACCACAGAATCTGTTCCTGTCCAATCGGCCCGTCAGCACAAAGCTGAGAATGTCGATAAAAATATTTCAGAAAATAGTTTCTCTCTAAACACTGGGATCGATCGTGATGGCGAAGCAGTCTTTCACACAGCTAAATCACCAACTGATGGAGCAACCGTAGAGGATAGCGAATTAGAGGAAGAGGTATGCCTAGTAAATGTAAAATGGGAAACATTTCACTGAAATCGAATGTAAAATACCATTTTTTTATGGTCCTTACCTTAAACCTGCACAACCATTTAATTTCCATTCATCTTGTCACGTTTGACATAGCTAGTCACTGAAATGAGTGTCATTCAATATTTCCATTATTTAGTTTACTGGTTCTAGCCGTTATCACAAATTTTAGTGTACTAGGAATAATGTAATAACTTCTCATTGGAAATGAGTAATAGATATGTGGAGTTGTGGCTTAGTGGTTGAAGCACCGTTTTACTGACTACGGATTATAAAGTTTTGAGTTGATTCCATGTGTCTTGGGAACGAACGTAAACATCTATCATATTTTTCCCTTATTAGAGATGTCAACGTAAGATATTACACAATTCTTTTTGTCCTCTTGGAAATATATAAATTCAACCTCATTGTGTTCCCATTTGTACAACAAAATCGGGCTGAGGTTAAAGCAGGTACTGACGCTGTGATAGTAGTTTAAGCACTCAATTCACAGGCATTAAATCATGTGTTCCAGTCTGGTTTCATGTCAGCATAGATGACGATACTATACGTGACCTTATACAAGTGCGCCCCTAAATGCCCTGGTACGGTCGAGAGTGGAGAGTCAACTCTCCCTCTCGAAATACTCTCACACGGCCACGTGCGTACAACCACCTGCTTCGGTTTGGGCACCCGGGCAGTATCCTAGCCTTCACACAAGTTGAATTATCTATGTGGCGCATATCTATTTGGTGCCTTTTCGTATCTAAGTTTATGTGTTTAAATAAATAATAATTATTATTACGCAAATGTAGCCTAAACCTGGTAAACAAACCTATGATATTATTGAGTTGCATTGTTTTTTTAGACAAGTATTTCTATGATCTTGAAGTTTATTCAGGATAGATTTCCCATTTTCAAAACACAATACTCATCACAATCTGACTGACAGTCAACTATTTAACTTAAGCGACAAGGTTATATTCTGTACTTGCCCCCAAATGCCCTGGTACGGCCGAGAGTGTGGAGAGTCACCTCTGCCTTTCGCAGTGCTCTCATATAGCCACATGCATACAACCACTGCCAGGGAAGTCCTACTCACTGCCTTCTCGTAGCGGGGTGTTGATTACGGAATCGAGAGGACGATAAGCGAATGTCAGGCGCTCTAACCGGGTTGGTGGATATAGAGGATTCACCTAGGGGAGTTGAAAAACCCTGATTCCAAACGAGTGGTGCACATGGGCTCTAGTATCTTGAAGGAACAAACGGTGTATGAACCAATTACTTGTCACGGCTACCATGGGACTGCATCTCCTTACGTTGCTCCACTGCCTTGTGGATCAGACCTTCAGGTCGAAGGCTCCGGATGTGGCCCCCTATGAAAACCACCTGCTTCGATCTGGACACTCGGTCAGTATCACAGCCCTCACATATCAAATGAGATCTGTGTGGCGCATATTTATTTGATGCCTCCTTTTACCAATATTTGTGTTCAAATAAATAAATTCTGTACTTGGTTTGATATGTTTAGCTCTATTATTTACTTGTGATGCCAAAACTTAAGTTACCATTCATATGACTTTTTATCTTGTTCTGCAAACAGCCTTAAAAACTGAAGTAACATATATGACTCCTAGAATTCACGTATCGTCTAGTCTATGGTCCTCACTAAATCCTGGACTCTAACGCGAGAATAATAAAGCGTGCATATTTGAATGATTTTGTATTTCTCGATACTGTAAATACTGACTCCAATCTTAAATACTATCTAAAAGAAGATTCAAGTTCAACGCACTATTTCTATGTAATATATATTCTTTAAATTTATCATTTGCTTACTTGTATTTTGTTCTCAATAAAAACTATCAATAATGGTTTTATTTGTATTTAAGTCAGAAGACATGAGACTTGACGATGATGAAGAGTTTGAGGGTTTGTCACCCAATCAACCAATTCTAAATACCGATAAAACAAAAAATGGTAAACGAAATCTGATAATTGCAAAGGTATTTTTTATTCTTAATCATTTATCTTAATAATTTTACTTTTAATTTGCTGATTTTCGCTTTCTATATTGTCAGTTTTGCTAACGTCAACCAATACACTTTTCTGTGAGGTTCACCTGTGTTCTCTGTTTCGGATGATCATAAAACACCGAATATGTTCACGTTGTTTGTCGTAAATGTTACATGATCACCTTGTCAGTTCACGTTCTGTTTCATACACCTCAGTCTTAAGTATCCATTTTATTTTCACTGTTCTATATCTCAGTCTAAAGAGTAAGATTTTGTTGATTGGTACGCAATGGTATAGCATGGTTTTTAGTCGTGGTATATTTTTCACTCTCCAAGTTTTATTTAAAAGCGGATTTTCTGTTTCTCACAATTTCATTTTTATACTATCTTGTTAAATCGGGTCAAGTGTTTGTAAATTATTGGCATGATCATGCTTGTCAAATAAAGACAATTGTCTAAAATCCTTCTGAATGTTACGTGTACAGATATTTACTGTCACTTACAAAACTGCCTGTTATAAATGCATATGAACTTCGGTTGTCTTATAAATACTGTGAGACAGTATACTTTGAGTTCATGTCGCTTTAAAAATTTATGATACCCTTGCTAACTGATCCACTTTAAATTATTTATTAACTAACTTCCTAATGCCTTCTTTTACCGTCCGGATGATCTTTGATGAACTGGAAAGCAAAATGTGAAACAAAAGAATATCTGAAAAGCTTAACTTGTATTTACGTCCAAGGATATTTTGAGTAGTGAAAAAGGAGTTGTGATAAGTGTATTGAGACAACTGGAGAAGGTTTTTGAGAGATATTAAACTGTTGTACGTTAGACTTTGCCAAATGAATTTTTGTAACCCCACTTCACGTATTTATTATGTTAACATATGTATCATACGTCCATACATACATATACCATACATTTGTTTTAATTCAGTATTAAAAGTATTTTTCATACATCTTCATACTTCATATATTTCTAGGTCCCACATCATCTTACTCGTTCATGGGACAATTTTCATTTGGAAATGCTTTTTGTACTAGCCTTAATGATATATACGTTGAATTTTGTAATCGGACGTTCCAAAAATGCACAGTTGGCAAACACTTGGTTTTCTGCCCATCAGCCATTATTAGAAACTAATTTTGCCGTAGTTGGTAAGTTTTTAATTCAATGAAATAACTAGTTTGTTGGTCACTAAATGTTGGTGGTTATGCACTAATTTTCCTTGCAAAAATCATCTATATTAAGCAGTTTACCTCTGAAATATGGGCGAACAGGTGTGACGTGTTAAATTCTTTGTATTATACACACTAGGCTAAATTTATTTTGCTGTCGGTGGCTAAATTTACACCAGTGAAATACATAAATAAATATAATTCTTGAGATAAAACTATTGTAAGTATTTTTTCAAGAATTTGACTGCATAGTTTGTAATTCATCATTTTTGCATGAATTAATATTGTTAAGGCTAGTGATGTGTAGGTTATTTGATAGTAATACAGTATGAATCCCTATTTTATGTATTATTTGTTGTTGATTTTAATAACGAATTAACATAATGTAGGGTACCATTAAAAAACCAAAGAGCAATGGGTAATTACTTCCTTCTTAAATAAGACTCTTTCTTCAGCATTTTGCACTCATGACCTTTTTTGGAACAAAAGCTGGGACCTTGGGATAATTGAAGCATAATTTATTAATTTATTGCTGCTCCTATGGATTATACGTTCGTTTTTTAAAATTTTCTCAGTGAGATATTTATATGCTTGAACTTCACTATCTAGGTGACGATGGTCTAGCTGAACCTGGAACTGGGACATTGATGAAGGAATCAGAACATTTATATTCTCTTTGGTGTACCGGAAGTGTACACTGTGATGCGATGCTAATTGAACTGCGTTTAGTCAAGCGTCAATGTTTATTCTTCGCAATTGCCAACTGGATAAGACCGGTTCATGATAGCATTGTAAGTTTTTGTTATTTTGTTTTTATAACGGTTGATTAACTGTTAGGTTAATTGGTTTTTAAGCAGTAGGTCTCAGGTCTAAAGTCCTCTCCACTGGGTAGTGAGTTATATTAAATTAAAATGGTCTGCTAAACTTCATTTATAATGTTAAAACACTGAAATCTGCACTACATTTGGTGCATGCTACCTAAAATTAAATCAGATTGATATTTCGACAATAAATCCTCTGCTTGATCTATCATACCTCACATCCATCGACCCTAGAGGTCAAAATGTCACTAATTTTCAACTTGTTGGTAGGAAAGTAGACTTTCTACCTTTCTATGCCTTCGTAAAAGTATTAAAAATCAGTTCAGAACTGTATACTTTTGTGGTAATTATTAAGGCTGACGGCTGTAGATGTTCTTACACCATTGTTTGTGGTTTATTACCGTTATAACCCTTGGTACTAGTCTATGTTTGTCATTCTCAATAGATGTTCATAGTCAAAACAAAAATCTTACTCTGTATAAAATGTTTCAGCCGAATCTATCAAATTCAAATGCGAATAGTCATGACAGTTACTTGCAATGAAATTCATGTAAGACCGTTGGAAGGAGTGGATTCGAAGCATTTAACACCAGCTGCATTTAATTATAAACTGAGTTTACAGATTATCATAATTACATCCAGGGGTTTCATACATATTATATTTATTGACCAAGTAAATCTTAATGTCCACACTACTAAATTATCAAACGAATAGTCGAGTGTTTCTTTGTTTTTCCGATGCTTAACTCCATAACATCAGGTTAGCAAAAAATCGTATTACAACAAATGTTTAATATAAACACAACTGGTGATTGAGACCACACCTTGAAACTTGTGTTCTAATGGATATTAATGTGCAATCTATTATTGCTAAAATTATAATTCATTGTTGTCTTTGAAGTAGGTACGTACTGACTCTTGGATGTTATTTGACTCAAGTTCCTTATTGTAAGTAGGCATGTACTGTACACCGTTGAATTGTTTGTAATTAGAAGAGTCATTCTGTCTCAAGTTGTGATTAGTAACAGAAATATTGCCCAGCAATGTAGTTATCCAGTTCACAGCAACTATATCAAAGGCTAAAATTTTAATAAGGGGTTGTGGAGACTTGAATTTCATTAAAATTATGTACTCATCTAAGCTGGACCTTCATTGGAAACCTTGAAGCGCTGGACGTCCGTTTCTCTCTAGTATCGGATTCGGCACTGCACATTCATGACCCCGTACGCGAGAGTTAAACCCGAGACATTCGGTCTTGGGCGAACGCTTAACCTCTAAATCACTTGACATAAATTGATACGGGCTTAACTTCATACAGTGTACAAAGGATTCAGTCGAATACATAGAGTCGTTATGTGTTTACCTTGATATACTTTCATTATTTTTGTTATCACAGGTAGTGAAAGTAATTATGGACGATTCTGAAATGGATGGTTGGGTCATGGCGGTTGGTCGTAAGCGTCGTCTTCAAGCATTAGCAAAAGATCATCAAGATTTAGCTGTATACTGTCCAGACAAACGTGGACAACGGCATTCATACCTACCAGAATCTTTCATGTTTTTAAATGAGATTCCAGAAGTTATCCCGGCAATTTTCAATCCTCTTGTAAGTCGATCTTATTTTATCTCAGTTAATAATTGTTACTTCGTGTTAAGTTCACAAATAGTAATCATGTAGATATTTCTATCTGATTAACATCGTTGAAGCTTGTTTTTTATATCTATAAATCAACCCTCTTGTATGTATAGCTACTGAGGGATTTTTTCACGCCTACTGTAATTATTGTCGCTTTCGGGTACATTTTTTATCAACATCAATGTGTTTCCCCTCATATTGATTATTAGAATGAGTTGTAACGAGAATTCCGCTTTTACTGATAATGACGTATTTTCAGAGACACTTATTCATATCACAGCATCGTACATCAGACTGTTTATAAGGAGACTAATTTGACTGTGGTGCCGCAGAGTTTGCGTAGATTAATTTGTGTTACTATCCTTTTTACACTCAACCAACACACATACATACTAAGTACTCAGCTAACCGAACTTGTTCACTATCAATGGTGAATGCAGTCATTATTATTCGGAACTAGTAGAAACACTATAAAGTTTGATGATACAAATTGCATGAGTAATAATGATACTTTTCTATAAAACCTTTTTTTGTCGATCACAGTGAATTCAGTACTCATGAATTATTTATTGTGATGAAAAACTGTTTTCATTGTTTGTTATAGGTTTGTAAATTTCTGAATGATTTTGAAGAATCAATCGAATATTTATTTTTCTCCGATCAGTATAGTGGACCGAAACCTCCCCAAGAGTAAGTTTTGGATATCTCATTTACAATTTCTGTTATTTATTTATCCTTTTGACTTCTATCCTGTTGACCATTTAAAGTGTGATAGAGGTTTCAGCTCAAGTGGATGTTTTTGATGTTAATGAGTTCTCTGGGCTAAATGATTTCGATTGTGGAGTTTTCATTGTTGTTTTGAATAGCATCAATGTTTATTTGATATATAAGTGAGCTTCTTGGTTATTTCACAAATGTTGAGTAAGTTTTTGCTGGTCACTTTGTTTGTGATCAGTTGTTTTCGTAGGTTTCATTGTCTTCATTTGTTGATCTTTCTGTTCTGTTGAACATGCTCCAGATTGATTTTTTCATGTGGAGTCAGGTCTAATTTAATGTGTCTGTCAATTACTGATTAATCTGAATGTCGTACTTCCAAGAATTCTCTAACTTATTTAAAATCTCTTCGATTCAGAATTTCAATGTTTTCCCAGTCGAATTCATGTCCGTATTCGCGCATAATCGTCTACATATTTCCTGGCATATTAATCCATATTGTTAACATTTTTTATAATGTTATTATTTGTTACCGTCCAATTAGTACCAAACGTTTTTAGAATTCTTTAGTATCCTATTCATAATTTCATGAAGTTGCCTAGCGTCTCATAGCGTATTATTTCTTGTTTACATATGTTCTTTGTTGTATTGTCTGATTATAGACCATACACTCATTCTTACTCACGCATAAAATTGTTGTTTCGTTATATTATTTTTGTATGTAAGAAAGAAACAAGTAGATTTTTGTTTTTATTCTCATGTTGATGAATGTTTACTGTTATTGTTTTCGTTGATACAAACTGAGTATGTTCACACGTTTTTCCCCTATTTCGTGACTGACCGTGAAGCAACGTTCTGGCAGTTTTTTTATATTTGTTAACATGTGATGGTATTTGAAGCAAACAGTACTAGGTCCGAGTTCCGGAACAAACATCAACTCTGGAATCAAGGTACACCCAACTGATGAGTCCGCGATAGTACGAAACGGGCTTCCTGGGTTCCACTGCTAGCCACCATCTGTCTGCTTATAGTGTTTGTGAACATAGTTCTACTGATGTAACAAGTACTCCATCTGCACAGTTTAAAAAAAGCTATAATTTGTTGACAGTTTATTGTCAGTTATATATATAGGTCGATGAGTAACTACATGTCTTTTAGAAACTAATTAGCTGTTACATGGAGCTCAACAATATAATTCTAAATGAGCAAATAGTCATTGAAGGAGGAAATTTACGAAATATGAGAAATTTATAATCAAACTGAGTGAAAAGTGTAACTATGTGAACCATGTTTATGTTAAAATTAAGATGTGTCATAGGTAATCAAGAAATCTGGATACAAATAATCTTTGTAATAATAGTACGCGTATACAATTGGTTAGTTTTAGAAACCTATTTATCATTTGGTTGAGGCCAAGAGGAAAACAAATTAACCAGCTTTATATTCTGAGAGCTTTGGTACATCTTTATTTCAACTTAACAATGCTCATAGTTGCACTCTTCACTTTATTGGATTGTAAATTTCGCATGTTTCGTAGATCTTAATGATATGTATCAGTTTAATCAGTGGCTGTAACATCCCATACATTCCTATTAGTTGTGCGCTCATCTTTTGTCAGTCGATTTTCTTTGATCCAGACATTATAGTTCATTAAAAGTTCACAGTGTTCGACATTTGAAAGTGTCAATGCTTATTTTCTTGTTGATAGAACATCAAATTTCTATTTTTCGCTGATCAAAGTGTACATTTAATAAGACGTAAATGTTATAATATCGAAGACTAATTGATTCCCATCATGATATACTTTCTTGAATGTTTTTGACTAATAATTTATTTTTTTATTCAAGTAACCCACACTTATAAATGTTTATTATTATTATTGTTACATTTATCGTTTTTCTGGTTATGCATGAATCTTTTCTCCTCACGCATACTCGTCCCCTTTGCCTCTTTTACGATATATTTCTTATTAGTTCTCGCTAATATACTTGTAATTTTTCACCAACACTGTCATTATAGATCACGAAAATACTGGTCAATAGAGCCAATTCTGGTTTCGATTTTGTTTTTGTTTTTTTTGTTGTTTTAATTAAAAAGATACTCAAACAACTAAGTTTGATTTGAATATTTTATCATCACGGATTATTATTAAATAGTAGTAGTAATTGGCTCCGAATATTGTGTGCTTAATAAAACTTTCTAAGTTCTAATTCACTTGATATTGTTTTACTTGAATCTTCCCATTGATGTTTTAGGACTGAAATTGATCAGTCTCTTATTGGCATATGTGCATACTGTGCGTATGCCTCGATATTGCCTTAATTTACAATCAATGGGAAGATTCAAGTAAAACAATACCAAGTGAATTAAACTTCACCCCATTGCACAAGCAAGTGACTATCAGGACCCAGTAGCTAAGTGGATAACGCGATGGGGTTTGAAGCGAACGGTACTGAGTCTCAGAGTGAACATCAACTCTGAGATGCAGGTACATCCAGCTGACGAGTCCCAAACAGGACGAAACGCGCGTCCTGGATTCCACTGCTAGCCACTACCCATCTTTGCTTTCTGAGTCTTGTATTGAAATTCTAAAAAAAATATTTCTTACTATTTCAAAACTTATTTGCATAAATACGGAATTATGGCATATTTAGTGTGTTCACTTTATAAAGGTAAATTTTAAATAAAGGTTTTCCTACATACTATCAATATGTACTTTTCACTTATTATGTAATCCTTGCCATTGTTATCATTGACTCATAAACTACCTTGACTAGTTTAATAATTTCGTATATGCATATAAATATTACTGTATATTAGAGTAAAATCTGATGAAGATCTAGTCGAAAACAATATTGTTCGTTTACATATGTTGTTCTAAATTTACAATATGGGAATGTTTCAAAATGATTCTTGTTGTTGACTTGACGATAGCCTTGGATAGTATTTGAAAATATTTGCACCTCCATTCATGTGGGTTCTTTTTTAATATTTATTTATTCATGTAAGCACATAAATATTCGTACAAGAGGGAACCAAATAAAAATGCGCCACACTTCATTCGATGTGTGAGGTCTGGGATACAACATGGTTGCCCAAATTGAAACATGTATTTCTCTTAGGGGGCCACTACCAGAGTCTTTGACCTACAGGTCTAAACCATTAGGTAGTGGAGCAACGTTTGAAGGTTCAGTCCCATGGTAGGTTCATACACTATTTGTTCCTTCTAGATCCTGGAGCCTATGTGTAGCATTGATTTGGAATCAGGGTTTTCCAACCCCCTTAGGTGAACCCTCCGTGTCGACCGACCCGGTTAAAGCACCAGATATTCGCTTTTCGTCCTCTCGATTCCGTAATCAACATCCCGCTACGAGAAGGCAATGAGCATTACCTGTGTGGCAGTGGCTGTATACGCGTAGGTATGTGAAAGCATTTCGAGAGGGAGAACGGATTCTCGTCCGTATCAGGGCATTCAGAGGCAAAGAAATTATGATATGCATAATTTGTCTAGATATTTCTCATCACGAATAGGTATTAGTTGTGGAATAATCATAAAGTAGGGGACATTAAACAGTCTTTCGTCCTTAGGTAGCATTTTTCTGCTGTTCACTAAGATTGAATAGAGAGATAGGTACCGCAAATAGTTTGTAATGATGAACGCAATAAACCCCTAATTCATTGAAATTTAAAATGTTAATCGTCGGCCGCTGATCCATTAGCCTATTGGTTTTAATGTGCATGCTGTGTAACCTAAAATTCCTGAGTTCAATCCATGTGTGGCATCTTGGAGTGTTCATTCCGGAGGAGGCAAAACCTTTCACCTGTTTCCTATTGTCATTCGGTTGATCATGACATGAACAGTTTTCAATTTAAATGAATGTCCACAAATAACTATTAAAGTTTTTTTATAGTCTGAATGAATCCAAAACACATATTAATGAGAGTTATACTGTTTGTCTTACCTTACAGAGATACAAATACCCCTACAAAACCTCCAGTTACACAGAAAGCGCTTATTTTTGCTTTCAGATGTAAGTTTCCTATATACCTTTCATCAGACCTTAATTACCTTGTATTTTTATGTCAGTAAGTTCTGATAATTATTAAACCTCCTAATTTGTTTGAAAGCATCACGCATTATCTGAATTTAATCCCCGGTGAGGTTGTGAATGTGTTTTGCCGAGGAGTCCCATACTAGGACAAAACAACCATCTAGTATTCCATGGTTTTTAGTGGTTGTCTGACTAAGGTTAATCCCTCAAAGAAACTGTTGTTATATGACTTATTATTTAGGACATTACTTCATCCACCAAGTTGATATAACGCATATACACTAAGGTTTTACTGCTGAGCTACAACTCCATCATTTCAAGAATGTAATAACATTTTAAAATGTATACGAATCTGGATTTATGTGCATCCAGCTGTAAAGTTCTCACTTCTAATCAAAATCCATATATCATTTTGAAGCTTGCTATAAAATTGTTCTATTGAGGCGACTCGCTCATGATCCCGTATTGCCTACAATGACTGATAAGAATTCACTCCTGAATATCAACAACGGGATAATATTAATCTATAATAATCTTACGAAACGTGACAATATTGATTGTGAGGTTTATTGATTTCAAGTTTCCAGTTTATGCTAGCTTAACTACTTTGTTTTGGGAATGTTAAATCCCCAGTAGTTTCATGCGACGTTTATTTAGTTTTCACGAATTTTTAAACTAATGATCATACAATATAATCAGTACAAAATTGAATGAAGTTAAACGTGAATCAGTATTTTTTTGTTTCTTCTCACAAGAATTATCTTTTGGAAGTAGCCGGAGCTAGGAGTTAAGGAAGTTGTTATATCCCTGTTTCGAAGTGTTATCGCAAACATCACTGTCTAAAAACTATATGGAGTCTAGCCATACTAGTACTAGTAAAGTTAGGTCACAGGGTTATTTTAGATTAGATAAATCCAAATATATTTATCCTTTAATGAAATTTGAATGTTAGTTTTATTATGGTTGGATAGAATTGTATGCACTATGTTATAAAAAAGGTGTTTTATAGTTAGCATAACTGTCATTCTACGTATTATATGATGTAAGAGTAAACAAGATTTCCACTGTTAAAATAAATGGGCAGAATGCCGATCAGTAGAAGATATGGATTTGTACGAAGTATTTGCTGAGTAATGGCTACTCATAAGATTAAATTGTTGACGTAAATTCCCCCAACCGAACGACTATCCGAAAAGAAAACAGATGCTTAATAGAATAGGCTTTTTTAAAAACAAAATAATATGCTTATGTGTTAAATGTTAACAGAGAAATAAACACGATTTAATGTCGTAACCTATCGGTCAACATCAGTTTAACAGGTCTCATTCTCCAGTAGATTAAGTTGTAATTCTAGTCTGTCACATCACTTTTCTTAATTGTGTACATATGAACTAAGATATGACTAAGGGTGTTATGTAATCAGTTAATTCCAATCGCTATTAGTTATCATCACCGTTTTAATGATCGTTTTCACAATAACATTATAGATGTATTGTCTCTGAATACATTTGTTGTATGCGATAACTTATTCAGTCTATTTTGATAATTTTCCTTTTTAAAATAAATGCAGATGTTCCAACAACAACAAAGTCAAAATCTTTCTCAACATCATTTACATCATCAAATAATAATGGTAATGGTAATCTTAATATTCATAATCAACACCATCAGCAACCAATCGAATCGGCTACTGCCTTATTCCATTTTATTTTTTATGTGATTGAGAAAGTTCGGCGATTTCGTCTTAGTAAAGAGGTATAATTGTTGGTTAATGGTTGTTACTTTTTTGTTATTACGAATAATTTGGTTACATCGGTTTCCAGTAACTTTATGTATAACTGTTATAGATAATGTTATTCTTCAAATTAAATTGCATAAATATGAATATTTTTGGGAAAGACTAGTAGGTCTAGTTAATTGAAGTCGTACATTGTCAAATTTGACGTTCATTGATTCATTTCATCAACTCTGAAATATACAATCTTGTACAGTCCGTTAGTCATTATCAACTTAGAATTTGGCACAAATATTCGTTAGCTTAAGTTGTCATTATGCAATTAAGAGATAAAGATAACAATATGAATCACAAAGCATTCGAAACAATCATCATATCAATGGCAATAAATAAAAATAAACGTCGAGAACATGGTTCAAAGGGAAGGAATGAAAGGCATGTGTATATGTAAAGGAGTGTTAAAGTTCAATATCTAGAAGAAGATAATAAGTAAATGCATCTGCTCTATTTCAGCTGATTTAAAACAATATCACTTTACGTTTTCAACTACTAGTCACAGTTGTTTCATACATTCCAGCCAGGTAGTTTAAAGCTGACAACACAACTCCGTGACTTCATGAATGAATCTCATGTCACGATCTTACCATTCCTAGTATTCTTCTGATCTACTCCATCCAACAATGCACTTCGAAAGGATCAGTGATTTGGAAGTGAATATGAAAGTCCTTCAATCAGATTGTATATGTAATTTAATTCGCTTAAATAGTTTCGTTTCTTCCACGTGCTCTTTTCGGTCTATGATATGGTGCTCAGAAATAAAGCGATCTTTGAACGATCAAGAAGTGATTTGAGCAGCGTAACATTAATTTGGTGATATTTCGTTAGGTCTTCGTCAACTGATTACACCCTGTAATATTTCAAAATCATTATTATAAAAAAATGGTTGGAATTACAGAACTGAGTTTAGTTGGAAGTTATTTTGAACACATCAATGTTGTATAGCAAGGAGATCAAATAAAATATTGCAAATATTTCATGTAGAAGAACATTCTATAACATCGATAGCAACAAAAATATTAGAGAGCTAGAAATAAATGGTGATCACGTAATGGACGAACATTATTAATAAGTAAGGATAAAATAAGTACAGCTCAGTTAAAATAAAACTACTGGTCTGAAAGAGAGTCAAAATAAAAACCTTCATGATGTAACGATGTTATGTTTATGGACACAGAGAGATTAACAACGGTTTCGTTTCAAATACACACCTGGTAGCGATAGCTTCGGCAAACGTTAGAAAACTGAAGCCTTTGTTGTATATTAGTTACTTTGAAAGATTTCAGAGTATCGACCTGCTTCATCCATTAAATACTTGAGTATAGGCCATACTATCAGTGAGAATTCTAATGGTGTACTTCTTGGTCGCTCAAACTGAATTAAGTGGGGCTGTTCTTGAACCTGTGATATGCAGTGGCCCAGTCAATCACCCTAACCACTAAGCCACCACTTCAATCTCTTCGTAGGTAGTTGATTGTATGTAGGTGTTTGCTCACCATATATGTATGTTTACAACTTGATGTGTCAAACTTGACGGGTCGCAGTACAATGATTGAAAACGGGTTCTTTCCACTTGATCGGCTTAATTTAATTTGGAGTTATCTAAGTTTTGTGAGTCAGAATTCCTAGGAATGGCTCTGAATCTAACATTGCAAAATACCTAAAGTGGAGAAGTTTGTTGTCCAAACAACTGGTCAATCTTTTCAAGAATGCCTCTTTGACGTATTGCACATCATATAAATAATAAATTTACGTTTAATCTAGGGCAAGGCTAAATCTGAACGAAATAGGCAACGTGCACATGATTCACATCTTAAGTTAATGCACAGTCAACGACAGGAAGCAGCTCAAAATCGTCGTGGTGAACGCCTACGAGCTGCTAAGGAGCGTATAATGGCTGAGGATGATCCTGAGAAAGCTCGAAAGCTTGAGGTAAGTTTATAATAGCTTGTCTGTGTTTGTATCATGAATAGATTTCAATATCACTTATATTTAACATGTATTCTGCATAACTATTTCATAGTATTTAGCGTTCTGATGTTTAACGGTTAACATAATAAATTTGAGTGATATTTGAATTGTAATCTAAGTACCTAATTATTTATTGCAAGTTCCCGTTTGTTTGATGATTAAGGTTGTTCAACATTCGATAAACTATTATAATCATACTCCCTTTCTTATGAATATCTTGATGTTGGTTTGTAAAAATGTACCATACTTATTTTTGTTCAAGTACCGTTTGATAATATTTAAAGACATCTTAATCGTGGTATTTCATTCCAAAGCAATCTACTTGCAATCTGTAAAAAATTAGCATGATTCACAGTTATACAATCAATTCAATTAATAGGCAGATTGAAGTCATAAAAGGTTTACCAGTTCTAAGGTATATTGGTCTTTTATCCCTTTCAAAATACTCCTCATGCTTATCTAATTTCTATGTCCACTGGACAAAATATCCCTGGAAGTTTGCAAGAGTCAAACTCTTCATCCCTCTCATCATTTCACATCACGTCTTCACCTTCATATTACTGCTTCCCTTTTTTGGAGAAGAAAAAGATAATGGTTGGTCAATTACAATTCGCGTATTTATTGTATAGATCATTTAGTTATCAGTACAAAGTTGTGCACGTGTATGTTCAATGTGTTCAGTTCATCTCATTTTATAAAAAGTAATTTAAGTTTCCCCTACTCTGTAACATTACGGTAAGTAAACTCCACATTATTGTGTCTACTACTGTCCTAAAAGTCTTTTTGCATCAAAAATTTTCCCTATTGTTTATGCTCGTGTTTTATCTATTTCAAGGAGAAAGAACAACGTAAAGAAAAATCAAAGAAAATGCCAAAAATGAAAATGCTCAAAATGAAATAATAGCAATAGTAGTATTAGTTGCCGACGTTTACGAAAGATAATATCATCATGCCAGATAAGTGAAGAATGTTTAAAAAAAAGATAAAACAGCTCGAAATTTGGATGGTACTATTAATCGATATCAGTACAAACACCACACCCAAATCAACCTAATATGTAACCTAACTCAAAAATTTTGTCCGGCTAGTCGTTGTTTTTTTTAAATTATATTGTAGTGTTCCTTCCATTTATCAACACCCCCCCACCATTGTCTTTTTATCCTTCTGTTCTAAAAAATTCATCTCATTCGTTTTTTTTTGTTAAATAATAGTCACCTCATCACGCACATATACACACATACCAAATATATATGTTTCCTCTACACAGAAATTTAAAAAAAGATTATAATAATTACAGTATTCTTTTGTAGTCGTTTGCATGATTTCCTCTTCTATACCATAAATTGGTACGTTCGTGTGTTTGATATTGACTATGAAGTATAAAGTTCATTGGTGCGTACAAATAATAACTATCCTCCTATATTCTTTATATTATTTTTTTCCACTCTATCCTATCCTTGTGCTTTAAGCGCAAGATATATATATATATATATATATATATATATATATATATATATATATATATATACTATTTACTGTGATTATCTTTACTACATCCTTTGTCCATTTTTCTTTATTAATTCCCAGTATTTAATCAACTTCTGTGTACATATATACATATTATTCAGATACATGGTGTATTTTGTGCTGTACAAAGAGGTGTAATTTAATAGTCAATTGTCTTATTCTCTTCATTCCTACGCAATCTATTCAATTTGTGTGCATCTACTTATCGATATCGTGTCGTACTGGGTTTTCTACATTTTTCGTATACATCTGTATATGTGTTATTTTTTCGAATTGATAGTAGTATTCATAGTAGTGGTAATATTTTTTAGTATTATAATAAATAAATTCACATATTTTGTACCTACCGAGTTCATTCCCATTTTTGTCTTCTCACATTATATTCTTGTTTGATTAGTTAGTTCCTAATTTGTTTTCTCGTTTTCAAAAAGTATATTTTCTTTACTCAACCAATTCTACCATCAGTTAGATGTGATCAGTATATTTATCATTTTAACAATAACGTAGACTGGTCATTGTTGAGGACAAACTGTGTGATAAGGTTTACTTACTTACTTACTCCTGTTACTCCTCGTGAAGGAGCATAGTATAGGCCGCTCACCAGAATTCTCCATCCAACCCTGTCCTGGGCAATCCTTTCCAGCTCCTATTTATCCTTTCCATATCTGCTTCTATTTCCCGACGTAATGTGTTTCTCGGTCTTCCTCTTTTCCGTTTCTCTTCAGGATTTCAAGTTAGGGCTTGCCTCGTGATGCAGTTTGACGATTCGCGTAGTGTATGTCCTATCCATTTCCATCGTCTTTTCCGAATTTCCTCTTCAGCTCGAAGCTGATTTGTTCTCTCCCACAAAAGGCTGTTGCTGATGGCATCCGGCCAATGGATGTTGAGTATCTTGCGTAGACAACTATTTATAAATATTTGTACTCTTTTGATGATGGTTGTAGTAGTTCTCCAAGTTTGAGCTTCATACAGTAGAACTGCCTTGACGTTGGTATCGAAGATTGTGACTTTGATATTGGTTGAAAGTTGTTTTGAGTTCTATATGTCCTTCAATTTTAGGAATGCTGTCGTCGCTTTGCCAATCCTCGCCTTTACGTCTGCATCTGAACCTCCTTGTCCATCAATGATGCTTCCCAGGTATGTGAAGGATTCTACGTCTTCCAGAGTTTCGCGATCAAGAGTGATTGGATTGCTGTTCTCCGTTTTTTTAATTTGAGGACCTTGGTTTTCCCCTTGTGTATGTTGAGGTCTACTGATGCAGAGACTGCTGGTGATAACGTTTAGTTAATAAAAATGAAAATTTTGCACAAAAGAAGTTATAAATTAATATTTTGACAATTCGATATTCACAACAATTAGTTTCATTGGATCATTAATTTAGTCTAGTGATTATTTACCAATTGGCTACATCGTATCATTACGTATCATCTACTGATCAGGATTTCATTCATTCTTTTATTAGCCAGAACTATCTTAAATATCAAATAGGATTCACTAGAAATTATTTGCAGTTTCCTTTTGTTGCGATTCAAGAATGCAATTAATTCATCTCTGTTGCAACACGTACACCATAAGGGAATTGTTTTGACATGACCTCCTAGATCCCACGGCTAGCTACAATATAAATATCGGATCTATTTCGTGAACTTAATTCATCGTTTTTATTTGTTATGGTTGGTTGTCGAGAAGACTTTAAATGCATTTATTATGTTTTGAAAAGAAGTTGAATAATGAATGCAGATGTTCTACATGGAGGAGAGTTGGGATCTCTTATATTATGGATTGATATATGTGTGTTCCGAAATCTCACTCAACTAAGGGAAGCGTTTACATATTTACTTATTTACTAGTTTTTTGCATATGAAGTCTGTTATATCAAAGATAGATTCGTCACATAAACTCTGGTTGGTACCTATTTGCTTCTAGTTAGTCACTTAACTGTACGAACAGTTATATAACTTCTGAATACAGTCGGATCCCCACGTGATCATAAAGTTTTAATAATTCCCATATTATGTATTAGAACAACATATATTAGCGGACAATATTGTTTTCGATTATATCCTCATCCAACTTTACTCCAGTATACAGTAATGTTTGTACGCATATACGAAATTATTGGTGAGACTATAGTTTATGGACGACCTTTGAGCGACGACTTAGTGACCTTGAGCATGTCCACCTACTTACTAGAGCTAAATGAGGGTTATAAACCAATGTGAGGAATTAGAATTATGATTTACGGTTGGTGTTTAGGGTTGGGAATTAGATTAAGGGTTTTAATCACAAACTGACATCAGCTATAATGCCAAAACTATATTTAGCCAAATGGATGAATGAATTTCGCGCTAAAATTTGAGATCTGTTATCTTATACGTAAATTATAGCCTCACCAAATTATTAAACCAATCACGGCATTTCATATGTCAGTGATAACAGTGGGATAGATTATAAATATAAGTAAAACGCACAAATTAATTAACAGTACTAGTTGTGATAAGAATCAATGTTTCACAATACGAAATACGTCAATGACATGAAAAACAGACACTGAAATAACAATTTTAATAGTTGAATTCATGAGTCAATTTAAGCTAGATCACCACGAAAAACATGGAAGGACTAGATGGTTGTTTCGTTCTATCATGTACCACCGTTGGAAACCTGGAAGCACATGGGACTTAAACCCAGGATTTTCGATATCGCACATGAACGCCTAACCTCTAGACCACTGAGCCATCATCCAACCCTGTTAATGTCTAACTTCAATCGACCCACGATACTGTTTGAACATCTTCCATCGCCTTTTGTGGATGCGCACTCCTGAATTGTCCAATAGTAGGATGAAATAGCCACCCAGTGCTTCCAGAATTTCAATAATGTTCTAACATTGATCGGTTCATGATCTCAATTAAGATTTCACTATCTCTACAACCCTATACCATTCATTTGCAAACATCATAAAATTTTCCGTATGCTCAGTCTATTAAGATGGTTGTTTGTCAGTACAATGTGAGTTATTATGAAAGGAACATTACAAAATTTATGGCATAAACTCAGTTCAACCAGTTTTAGAATTTCTCATCAACTAGAAAGCTCCTTAGTATATTGTTGACTAATATACTGACATGCTTTTGGTTAATTTGATTAAACCGAGAGTTTAAAACAAAACAGTGAATTAAGAGAATACAAAAACAAACAATAAAATCATACATTTCAATGTAGATTGTTATATACTACTGCTGAAAGTTCTAAACTATGAAGAAAATGAGATCGTAAGTAACAGTAATTTGTTAATAAAATGACTTAGTTCTTGGATATGGGCATCATTATTAAGGTTTAACTTGATAATTTCGAATAAATTGAGCATTGGGTAGATTACCATAAATAAACAAATATAATATATAATATAATAAGTAATATCCGAATGAGCACAAAAATTAGATTTTCTGACGTTTCGTGACTTAGTGTAAGTCACTTCTTCAGAGAATAAATAAATAACCAGATCAAGTTTAAATAGTAAAAAAGAACAGCAACACCGTGCACACACATACACACACAAATGTACATAAATGTCGCTTATAAATCACCTTGACCGAAATGACATGACCTTGATTTGTTCAGACCTGTTTTTTTCTGAGTGATCGCACATAATATTCTTACGTTGTTCCTTTGTACTATTTAAACTTATATTAAATTTGATCTGGTTATTTATTTATTCTCCGAAGAAGTGGCTTAAACTAAGTCACTTAACGTCAAAAAAAATCTAATTTTTGTGCTCATCGGGATATTACAAATGTATTATATTTATTTTTAACAATCTACTTAATGCTGAACTTGTTCGAAATTGTCCAGTCAAACTTTGGTAATGATACTTACTTATTAAATTATTGTTTTCTTGTTACTTATGTCAATCATCATCGTTCATATGTTACTATTCTATGATATTATATTAAATGAATAATAATAATAAGATAACTGATTTCGTACCAACTTAACACTTTAGCTGAATCCAAAAGATGATAAAATTGGCTAAGCGATAAGTGCGCATGATTGGCCAAGAAATAGTCTGCACTTCTAAGGGATGAATTATACATCATTAATGATTTATTGTTCTAAGGAATATATATTCAATTTAGCTAACAAAATTCCTTCTCATTATCAGCTTTACACTTAAGGAACTAGTTAGGCTCGCGTACAAGACGGTTGAGTATCAGGATCAAAATCAGACATTCCACGTCATAACATCTATCAAATACATGTTTATGTGCTCTACTCTGAGCGTCACTTGTTTACATATGACAAATGGATGACATGATTTGGATGTGTATACTGAGGTAGGAGAAAATAGATTCTAATCCATGACTTACTGGTTAGAAGATGAGCATTTCAAATGATGACACTAGAAGATAGCCACACATTAAGTAATAATGTTCATGAAATTACAAAGTGAATTTAGACTGAATAACATAATAATAAAATGATATAATTTTATTTCATACTTTTTCCATGGTTTATAACATAAGAACTGTGAATACCTGAAAATGATAGATTTTAGTAGCATCATACCCACTGAACATGACTTTTCAGTAGCTAAGATTATATGATTCCTATAGACATAATCAACTTCAAACTTCTTTTCTTCTGAAAATAGATTCACAATAGAAACAATATAAAAAAAAAGATTCTTAAATGAAGATTAAAGAACCATCAATATTAATAGCTGTTTGTTATTTAACTAGGTACTTTGTTTAGGTAATTATTATTGTATGTCTCATTTTTGGTTGGTTAAATTTACGACCGATATTGATTTGAGAATACAATTTATTTTTGGAATAAATTGACTATCTTCGTTTCCTCCCATATATCTATGTGTTACTGTTTCATTAAAGTCAATATTATGTATATATATATTCAACTTTATTCTTTCCTAGAATATTCTTTACAATTCATGAAATGAATATAATCAATTCAAATAATCAGTTTGGATTGAAATGAGCT